ACTGGAAGGGACCTCGAGAGGTCATCGAGTCCAGCCCCCCGCCCTCAAGGCAGGACCAAGCTCCGTCTACACCATCCCTGACAGATGTCTATCTAACCTGTTCTTAAATATCTCCAGAGAGGGAGATTCCACCACCTCCCTTGGCAATTTATTCCAATATTTGACCACCCTGACAGTTAGGAATTTTTTCCTAATGTCCAATCTAAACCTCCCCTGCTGCACTTTAAGCCCATTACTCCTTGTCCTGTCCTCAGAAACCAAGAGAAACAAATTTTCTCCTTCCTCCTTGTGACACCCTTTTAGATATTTGAAAACCACTATCATGTCCCCCCTTAATCTTCGTTTTTCCAAACTAAACAAGCCCAGTTCATGAAGCCTGGCTTCATAGGCTTCTCTAGACCTTTAATCATTCTTGTCGCTCTTCTCTGTACCCTTTCCAATTTCTCCACATCTTTCTTGAAATGTGGCGCCCAGAACTGGACACAGTACTCCAGCTGAGGCCTAACTAGCGCAGAGTAGAGCGGCAGAATGACTTCACGATCTTTCTTGAAATGTGGCGTCCAGAACTGGACACAGTACTCCAGCTGAGGCCTAACTAGTGCAGAGTAGAGCGGCAGAATGACTTCACGAGTTTTGCTTACAACACACCTGTTGATACAACCTAGAATCATATTTGCTTTTTTTGCAACAGCATCACACTGTTGACTCATATTCAACTTGTGGTCCACTATGACCCCTAGATCCCTTTCCGCTATGCTCCTTCTTAGATAGTCGCTTCCCATCTTGTATGTATGGAACTGGTTGTTCCTTCCTAAGTGGAGCACTTTGCATTTCTCTTTATTAAACCTCATCCTGTTTACCTCTGACCATTTCTCTAACTTGCTAAGGTCATTTTGAATTATGTCCCTCTCCTCCAAAGAAGTTGCAACCCCACCCAGTTTGGTATCATCTGCAAACTTAATAAGCGTACTCTCTATCCCAATATCTACATCATTGATGAAGATATTGAATAGTACGGGTCCCAAAACAGACCCTTGAGGAACTCCACTTGTTATCCCTTTCCAGCAGGATTTAGAACCGTTAACAACAACTCTCTGACTACGGTTATCCAGCCAATTATGCACCCACCTTATCGTGGCCCTATCTAAGTTATATTTGCCTAGTTTACCAATAAGAATATCATGCGAGACCGTACCAAATGCCTTACTAAAGTCTAGGTATATGACATCCACCGCTTCTCCCTTATCCACAAGGCTCGTTATCTTATCAAAGAAACTGTTCTTATCATACTGTTCTCTTGCATACAGTGCAACTCCTCTACCTTTTCTCCCCTGCCCACTTCTTTCCTGGCCTCTTCTCCAGAAGAGCTGCAGACATGAAATAAATAAGGCCCTACTAAATTCATGGCTGTGAAAAACACATCACAGGGCATGAACTCTCGTCTCCCCCATGTGAAATCGGGTCTGTTATACAGGTTCGCCCTCCCTGGTCTGGCACCCTTGGGACCTGACTGGTCCCAGATGAGAGACTGCGCCAGACATGGGGAGTTCACATCTGGCCCCTTCTGCTACTGGCTCCCTCAGCCCTGGACTGGCTGCCCCCAAGCCGCTGGCCTTGCTGCCCTGCTGGCCCCCACATCCTCTTCTCTGCTATGCCAGGCAGCCCAGCTCCAGTCCAGCTCCCTGCATGCAAAGCTCCTGGCAGCACCCGACTGCCTTGTTGGGAAGTGCTTGGCAGCACAGCTGTAGGGAGCCTAGCCACCAGCCCTGTACTAGGACTCTCTGGTCCTGGAACATATTGCTGGACCAGGGAGTCCTGGTTTACAGAGGTTCATCCTGTACCACTTTGATCCTAAACTATACAGATTTCACAGAGTAAACAAGTGGTTTTCTAACTGGGAGTCACAACTCAAAAGTGGACTGCAGGAGGGGTTGCAAGGTTATTGTAAGTGGGTAATGATATTGCCACCCTTACTTCTGTGCTCCCTTCAGAGCCGGGTGAATAGGAAACAGTGGTTGGTCAGCTGGGAGCCCAGCTCTGAAGCCATCACTTCAATAGTTGCAGTGCAGAAGTAAGGATGGCAAGACCATGCCATGCCACCCTTACTACTGTGTTGCTGCCTTCAGAGCTGGACAGTCAGAGAGTGGTGTTTGCTAGACAAGTTCCCAGCTCTGAACACATCATCCTGCTAGCCACAGCGATGAGCTATGGGTATCAATACCATACTATGCCAACTCTGCACTGCTGCCTCCAGAGTGAGGTGCAGGAGAGTAGTGGCTGCTGGCTAAGGGCACAGCTCTGAAGGCAGCAGCACAGAAGTAAAGGTAGAAATATCATGCCATGCATCCTTACTTCTGCATTGCTGCTGGCAGTGGCGCAGCCTTCAGAGCTGGGCTCCCAGCTAGAAGCCCCTAATCTCCAGCTGCCCAGTTCTGAAGGCAGCACTGCTGTCAGCAGCAGCAGCACAGAGTGGCAACTAGGGATGCTAAATTTAGTTTAATCAACTAGTTGATGGATTTTCCATAGAATAGTTGGTTAGTTGCTAAGCGGGGGAGCCACAGAGGGGTTAGTTCCTGGCCCTTGGAGCTAACCCTGCTGTGCTCCAGCCTTTTAATATGTTAAGAGCCAGTAGGGATCGGGAGTGGGCCAGGAATCAGCTGATTTCCCAGCTCATGCCCAGTCCCCGCTGCCCCTCTGCATCCCCTGCCCTGTGCAGAGACAATGATGTGAGGAACCAGCTTTTAAGCCAGCTCCCCCCAGCACCAGCTCCAGCTCCCGCTCCTCCTCCTCCCACTTGCTGCCTCTGATAGTCAGCAAGGGGGGGGGAATCAATTAGTCGAGGGACTAGATGACTATCCAATAAGCTTTTGCTTAGCGGATCGTCAACTAGTTGCTTACATCCCTAGTGGCAACACTGCGACCTCTCTAATAATAACCTTGCAACTCCCTGACATCCCCATTTTGGAGGAGAACCTAATACAGTTATAAAACTAACATTTAAGATTTAAATAGCTGAAATTATGTAATTTATTTTTTTTAAAATCCTATGACTGTGAAATTGATCAAAATGTACCATAAATCTGGTAGGGCCATAGAGATAAAGGATATATGACAAGCAGAAGAGAAAGTGGGGGCTTCAATGGAGACTGTCAAATGCACACACACATACTACTTGACGTAATATTATGTTTTTGGATTGTAGGTGCCTGAATATGTATAGCACTTTCCCATGCTTTACTTGGCTGTTCCACTCTTGAATGGAGGGTGGCATTCAGACTGCAGGTAAGGAGAGGAATTGTTTTTGTAAATATAGTGACACTGCTTCCATACAGATGACCGCAGACAGAAGTCAAGGAAAAGTTAGAATTATGCAAATGTGATTCCAAATAGAAGCTTCAAAGGGAGCAGGATCAGACTCTAGTTTATGGAAGGGTGTAACTGTTTCACATTTATTAAGTAAACTGGCTCAACTTTTCCCCAAAATACAGAATGCTTGGAATACACTTTTATTTTGAGATGTCAATATTTTGGCATGCAATCAAAACCCCTTTGAAAACCTTTGTGTTTGGCAAAGAATGTCCTTGGCTTACGTTTCACAGATCTATAACTATAGAATTTCATATTTTAAATTGGATTTGAACAGGAAAAAATAACGTAGTGCTTCTTGACCTGCACCCCTAAAATTGGATTTGAACAGGAAAAAATAACATAGTGCTTCTTGACCTGTATCAATGATGAGACATTGGCAATCTTAATATCATTATTGTCACATAGTAAATCAAGGGTTGGTTAGTCCATAAAGGCACAGGTTACCATTCAATCCAATCTCTTCTGACCATGCCAAGAATAAAACAATTGAGTGTTGCAAGACTTTCACAATTCTAGAACTAGCCTCAGGAAACCTGGGTGGGATTTTGAGCACAAAGTACATTCTATTCCCTCTTCCCACCTCCCACAGTTTCAGAAACTGACATTGAGTTTTCACTATCAACAACAATGTATTGTGTGTGTATAAGCATGTGTGTGAAAGATGATTAACCAGCCTTTATTACAAAGAGATGATGATTCACTGTCATCTCCAGATCATACTAATGTACTAAACATGTTCAAGAATGAAGCAAAAACCAAGTTCTTAAAACTTTTTTACTCAAATATTTATTTTTTAAGGTGAGAAATATACAGAGTAAGAGGAAGGAAGTGTGCAATGAGGAACTACAAAGGACTATTTCATTTCCATCACAACCTTTGGAAAACACACCCAACTGTATAGTGTAAGAAGAGCTCATTGGTTTTGCCTGGGGACTCAGACAAGTGTGTCTGCCAGTTCTGCACTGGCTACATCCTTTGGGCCATGACTAGTCCCTCTATCCCCAACTACTTGGAGAGGAAAATGCACAGGAACACCTCCCTATGCAACAGAGGACTTCTTGTCTCTCCTTATATAATAATCCAACCGAATCAAAACGGAAGCCAACCACGCTGCCACGGAGCGTTAACGAGAGAAAATTACCCTAAGAACACTACTGTGGACCAGAACCTATTCCTCACTAACTAGCCACCTAGTCGCTTTGCTAGGAAAATCCTGGGTAGAAGCAGCACACGCAGCAGTCAAATGCAAACCTTGTTACCCAACAGCAAATGTGCTGCTGCTGCTGCTGCAAGTCCCCAGCAGGAAGCTACAAGCATCACAAACTGCAGCTGCTTCTTCCAAACACATTTCATGGTCTCTCTTTCTCTCCCCCTCTCTCCAGCCAGAAATCTCAGCTCGTTCAGCCTCTGCCCGCGCTGACGCAGGCTCTCTAATTAAAGGGAAATAAAGGAGAAAGTTACTCTGTGGCTCTCTGCGGCGGTCCCTTGGAGACCCTGTCACATCTCTCCTGCCTGGCTGCGGCTGCTGCTCTTCCCTGCAACATGATTCAACAGCAATGGCACGTTAAGCAACTTGTTACAACACCTGCCGGCCCCTCCTCCCCCGCACCCCGGGCAGACGGGCCCCTTACCTTGCCACAAGAGGCCCTGAGCTGGGAGGGAGCGCGGGCGGCAGGTAACGCGAGGGCGCTCGGGAGCCGGCCGGCGGGCGGGGGAGCGCGCGGCGGAGCGGAGTGCGAGGGAGCGGCGCGGGGGGCGGAGGA